AAATAAGCAGGTTGCGCTGCGAAATGTGTTGTAACAACACTAGTCATCTAATTCCATGTGATTACTGCAGAAGACAGGAGGGAACTGAAATGTAGAGCCATCATCACACTCGAGGCCTGGTCGGTACAGAACCCTCCACCTGTGTTTAATGGTCACACCTTATTCTCATAGACGTTTCTGTGCAAAAGTGAATGGACGCTGCCACTGCAGCGCCATGAAACACTGACATAACACTGAGAGGAGATCTGTGGGCCTGGGCCAAGAACCGGGCTTGTTGTGACAGGAAGGTTCCTGCGTAAAAATCTGAGCAGCAGCTGGAACGAGATGCTGTAAAATGTCAGATTCAGATTTCCAAACAATCGCAGCAATGCGTGAAGAACCTCTCTGGATCCACGGCAGGTGGAAATCAAACCCCCATCATCTCAACGCTTAAAGCGACTCACCTGTGACATCTGGGGTCTGAAGTTGATCTCCTTCAGGTCCACTGACCCCGGCGAGAGGTTGTGCAACATCTGGCACAGCAGCACCCCGTCTCGCAGGGCCTGTGCCAGGTCGAAGACGGCCGCCGAGGGCCACACGACCCGGTGGTTCGGGGGCAGGACCTTGCAGTCTATCAACCATCGCCCACATTGTCTCCACTCCTCCATGGCTGCTCTGGGGGGCTCTCCTCGCAAAGTAACCGGGTCCGCGAGCTGGTTCACAGCGCGCTGAGGGCGGCGGTTCGCGGCGTCAGAGCAGGCTGTGGGGTCGGTTCCCTACCAGCTCCGGGGGTCCTCAATCATTCACAATCAGCTCGGTAAACAGGCAGTTTCACAACTTTCGACTAATGGCAGCAGGACAGCGCGATATGTCCCCGTTCCACACGCATGTCAGCTCTCCTGTCCCCTCGGCGTGGACACGGTGAAAGCGTGACTCGGATGAAAACACGGTTTGGTGAAATCGGGCTCAGCAGACGGCGGCGTGACCAGAAAACGGAGACGGGCTCCGGGAACCTTCTTCATCCTCAAAAAGTTTCCCCAGCATATCCAAAAGCAGAGGGTGTGAATGGATGGTGACGATAGAGGAGGATTAAACAGCTGGACGCAGCGGTTTGTCATGAACCGACTTCCCCAGTGTCTCACATTTCAGTGAACCGACACAACACGATGTGGGGAGACACACACACGCAAAACAGCGTCTCAAGTCTGTTTTAGTTGTAGAAGTCCAGAGTACCCGACGGCATCGTGCGTTTCTTGGCGTCAAAAACAAGAAGTTGCGGTAAATTCCAGCTCCAAAAGGAGATTAAACACAGAAGAGTGTGTCCACGGCGCCTGGAGAATCACCCGCTCCCCACAACAGCGGCTCAACATCGCCCAGCGTGTCGCGGAAACATGCCCGGAGAAAACAGGGGGGGAAAGCGGCAGCGTTTTCGTTTAATTCTCCGATGAACGTTCCTTTGCTTCGCGCCTTTACGCACGCCCCAGAAACAGCGTTACGCGCACACACAGCTTTGCTTTCCTGTGATTTCTTGCCTCCCTTCCGTTCGCGTCCTCTCTCCCCCTCCGTCACTCGCGTCTCCCTCTCCTCGTTTCCCGTTCGGACGGAGATGTTCAGCGGTCCCCGGCTCCCGGCTCCAGCTCCGGAGTCCGTGCGTAAACAACCAAAACCCCGGGTGGGAAACCCCTCCGCGCGCCTGGATCGGTGCTGTCCCCTGTGCTCGGTGACGCGCTCACACGTGCAGGTTGTCGCGCGTAAAGGTGAAAACTTGGGTCGCGAGTCTCCGGCACTTTGTTGAAGTGGCTCCTCGCTCACTGTTCCAGGGAGTAGTTTGTTTGGCCAGGAGGCGAGGATGCGCCCTCTGATGGATGTGGAGCACACTGCACGGGGTACAGGGGGATTAAAGGGCCAGTTCCAGCAAATCATAACAATAATAATGATAATAAACTGTATTTATAAAGACTAGTATCTTTCAGAACACAGGTGCAAGGTGCTAATGCACATTTGAATGCAAACAAAAGGAGTTGAAATGTCTTCAGTTCCTCTGGAGTGTGTAAAGTCTGAGGAACTGATCTGATCTCAGTTTTGTGAGAACACATTTGTAACCAAAATGCTGGATTCAACCGAAGGTGAGGAGTTTCAGAAAGACCAAATAGAGACTGTCAGTAAGCCTGGAGGCCGGGACGTACAAGGATTCAAAATGTGGAAATGCCAAAATCACTTACTTCCTGTGGGACCAGTGAGTTAAGAGGATCGGCTCCAGGAGGCAAAAACAATCTGAATGTTTCTGTGCAGAGTTTAACTTTTTTTTGAAGCAAAGCAACGAGAGCAAGAACTCTTTATTCAGGTTCACAAACGTTTTTCGCAAACAGCAGAAATCCCACCACAGTCAGAGCCACTGAGCTCACATCCTCATGTTTGATGTGAACATCAGCTGAAGCTCCTGACCTGTGTCTGTGTTTGTATCGCTGTCTTGTGATTGGCTGCTTGACTAACTGCATTAATTAGCAAGTGTTCCTAATAAAGTGCAGCAACTCAAACCACCACACTAGCTGTGGTAGAGACTCCTCTCATTACTCTGCTACTGGAAAATGCGAACAGCTTGTTTCAACTTGTCTCATCATACCTGTGGTTTTTTTTTTTGGTGATGCCATAAAACTGTTCAAATGGAGCCTGTAGATTTTGGCACAGACACGTAATTATCAGAAAATACTCTGAAAGAATACTAGTGTACGAGTGTAACATGTCAGGTATGTGTAGTAATCTTGTATTTATGATGGTTTACTGGTTGCAACTTGCTTTCCCTCGGTTGTGTTAATAAATGTAACTCTGACACTACGATGCAAACTTTATAAAAATGTGTCAGGTTGATGTCCCAGTATTTGAGTCGGCCAACTAAGGATCACTTAAAGGTTCAGTGTGTAGAATTTAGTGACATCTAGAGGTGAAGTTGCACGTTGCAGCTGAACACTCCTCATCTCACCCTCCCCTCCCCAACATGAAGGAGAAGCTGTGGTGAACTTCAGTTGTCGTGAAAACTCAAAAGGTTTTAGTTTGTCCAGTTTGGACGACAGTAGAAAACATGGCGGCCTCCACATAGAGGACCTCCCTCCATGTAAATATAAAGGTCTTAAAGAAAGAAAACAACAATTCATACAATTTAGATGAAACACACCAGTGAAAACATTATTTTATTATTTAAAATTCAATTTCTGCCAAAAAACCTGTTCACCTAAATCTTACACACTGAACCTTTCACCTTTTAAGACCTCCTGAAAAGCCCCATCAGCCTAAAATGTGGCTTATACATTTTAATGGTGCCTTTTTTCCAGAGGGAACCCTGTTGCCATGCTTACGCTTACACTCACACTCTCACACACACCCACACAGCAACAGAAGGTAGTGTGGAGAGTAGTGCCCGTGGTATTTGATTAAAAAAGAGAAGAGCATGTGTTCTCTGTTCTGTCTTCACGTGATGCTCTGCAGCCTGAACAATTAAAAGGTAAATACTGTATATTGTTTTCTTACAATGGCTGCAAAATGAATGTAGGAACAGAGTAATGCTCTCCTGTCCCCCGGCAGCTAATACTTATGTGCCTCTGTGCAAGGCATGCAGTCCCCGATCCAGGGATACTGCTGCGTATGAGCTTAGGTCCTTGGAAGCTCCCAGAAATTAATATGTGAAGAGTCTTTTAGTGCATTTGACCATGATGCAGTGCAGGGATACAAAATCACATCATCAGCAAAATCTGTTCCTGGAAGAAAAAGAAAGTGCATGTTGTTAAACACTGAGCATGTGAAATAAGAAGAAGAGAGAACAGTTGTATTAGCAGCTAATTTGCAATTAAAATTTCTAATATGTCACATTAGCATAAATCGTTTACTTAACAGAAGTGCATACATGTGCAGTTCACTTGACATCCACCATGATTCAAACTGACACCGTGAGACCACACTCATTGAGTTTCCATTTTTTAACCCACCGCAAGTGGTCGTCCACAGGGTGCTGAAAAGAAAATGAAAACCAGAGATCCATTAATCAAAGTCTCTTATGTCATGTGTCTGGAGAATCCTGCATGTGTGTGTTGTCTTTTTTTAACATGGGATCCATGCTCTGTGAGTGATGGCCAGAAATGGCAGAAATGACGAGTTGCCATTGAAGCTGCGGCATTGATCCATCAAGCTCCAAGGTTGCTGCTGGGCCGCCTGGTGGCATGTTCCATGTGGTGTGATGGTGATGCAGGTCACACAGAGCACGTCTCCCTGCAAGGACGCCAACAGGCCATCGCAGCATTCTTGATTTATTTTTCAGTTGTGAGCAGCAACTCACAACTGATTCATGTTGGATACATCCTTCACAGCTGTCCGACAAAAATGAGCTAAACTAGTTTTCTGTTGTTTTCTATGAATGACAGGTCTTTATGAAAAGTGATAAATAATTAAAATCCTTCGAATAAATAAGAAATGAATCCATCATCTGCTATAAAACCCACAACTGCAGGGTTTTCTCAAAAACAGAAGCTGGACTGTGAAAACTATAAATCCCAGGATGGTGCATGATGGCCATCTCCTGGCTGAGCACCAAACTGCACGCAGTCACAAACATGCAGGGTGTCGACAGCGTTGATCCAGTATGAGTCAGTGCCTTACTAACAAAGACTTCTGATGTAAGCGTCCCCGAAGGATCCGCTCCGCTGGTTCTAGGTCCAAGCTGAAAGGAGCAAATCACTGAGATCCAGTGGAGCGTGAGCCGGTGGAGGAAGCAGCTGTGGCACCAGATCTTGGGCACGTGCCAGCGTCTGCAGGGCAGTTGGCATGGCAGCTGAAAATGGAGTCATCATTTACTTTCCCCGCTGGGCTGTTTACCAAAGAAAATAACGCTGAAGGTATTTTACACCTTCTCTGCAAAATAAACCCAAAGCAAATGCTGAGGATTTTCTTTTGTCTATATTTCGATTTGCCAATGACCTGCCCCTGATCCGTTCCCTCCCTCCCTCTGTGAGTAAACTGGTCAAGACGAAGCATCAGCAGAAGAAAGCCTTTAATTAAACAGTATGGACGACAGGGACAAGATGTTGGTTGAAACCCAGATATTAGGACGTACGCTGTCAGGCTATGTTGTAGCTTCATAGCGTCTGAAATGCCAGTGGTGAGTATTTGATTTATAAATACAGAGAATGAGAAAAGCCCTCGCTAAACACAACAAACTATGATGTGGGAACATTAAACAAATACAAAAATAAAGGTGTTTAACACTTTTGAGGAACTCTCATTTGGTCGCAGAAGAAGCAATAAATAAACAGTTCAGGTGTCATGAGTCACTGCTGTCTGAGGTGGAGCCGCTGGAGCTGCTGGAGGCAGAATCTGAAGAACTGCTGCTGCCGACAGGATGAGACGCAGCTCTGCTGCTTTTCTCTGCAAGAAAGAAGAACCAAAAGCAATTCAATGCTAAATGGATCCTATCATTTTAATTCATTTCAAAACCAACTGAAGTCAAATGTCAGAATGTGGTGGTGGAAAGGCTTTTGCACTTACTTTGAAACTTCTTAAACTTCTGTTGCAGGCAGGACTTGACGTATTTCTCCAGCTCCCACAGAGTGGACGGCTTCAGTGCCTCGAAGTCGATCTCGACCTCGTACGGGTTGGCATCGCACATCGAGGGCTCTCGTGTCTGAATGATTTGCACGACGTGGGCCAGCTTCGTGCCAGGTAACCGGTTGATGTCCAGGCTCAGCTGGTGCTTCTCGTCGTACGTCATTGGCAGAGATTCCTCATCTGAGCCCCGGTCTTTGCTTCCCTTCCACAAGAGCCTGAGGGTCAATACACAGCGGTCAAGGTCCTCAATGGAGCTAAGACACAATGAAAACAAAGCTCTTAAGATATGAAATGTGTCAAACCTGGAGCTGGAATGTGGAGCACTCTTGGAATTTGCACTCCCTTTATTTCCCCTGCTGTCCTTTTCCTTGTTCCTCTCTTTTTTGTTCTTCGGTTTAATCACAGGCACTTCAGAGAAGGCAGCGAGCTGTTCGTGAACAGCTTTGAGCTAAAGAATCAACAGAAAAGAGTCACGGTGGGGCCACAAGAAAAGTCACAGATAAATTACCAGCACTGAATACAAGGAAGTTGGAGAGAATGCAAGATGAAGAACTATAATGAAACTCAGCAGAGCATTAACCTCCACTGAGTCCAACTCTCTAGTTAGTTATTTTAATATGACCGTAATTAGTTATTTGCCATAAAACAAAGAAAAACAAATTATTCTGTAAATTATTCCTCAACTTAAATGTTGGAAAATGCAAATGTGATTTTTGGAGCATAGAGATCTGTGCAGGAACCCACCTGTTCTGCACCCACCTGCTCTTGCAACTCAGCGAGTTTTGTGGCACGCTCCTCTTCAGAGTCTGATGTGTCCTTGCTGGAGGAAGGGTTGCCACTGCTCTGACTCAAACCTGCATTCTTAGTGGACTTAGCGCTCGCTGCTGAAATCAACGCCACAGTTTCGTCCGGCACTGCAGCGAACCTCGTTTCGAACACGCCCTGGGAGGAAGAAGAAAATGAATGAGGAGTAAAGCGGACTCTAGAGAACCAGACAACACTTTAATCATCAACAATTTAACTTGTGAAAAACACACCTGAAGTTTTCTGGCCCCGATTACCACTTCATGATCGGGAGGGTTGTATTTGTAGCAGTTAGAAAATATTAACCTGACATCTGCAGCGAACTCTTGTGCATCCTGGTACTCTCCTCTATTCAGTTTTTTCTACAAAATAAATCTCAAGGTTAAAATCAAGTGAAGAACAGACAGAATGTGTCTGTATGATGAAAACATAAGTGTGTGTGTGTGTGTGTGTGTGTGTGTGTGTGTGTACTTTAACAGTGCTGAGGTCCATGGGGTATTTGATGACATCATGGTAGTCGTGCAGCTGCAGAGCTTCAACGTTGACAGGTTTGTAGAAGGGCCAGGCGTAGGCCGTGTGTTTTTTCGAGAGCATTTCCTTAAGAATATCATTGCAATGCTTAAGGTGTTTGCCCGATTGCTCGCTTTGTTGCTGCAGCGACTCCTTTTCAACAAAGTCACCCTTGGAAGGATTGACGGCTTGATCTGCACTTTCGCGTCGCCTCTTGCTCGCTGATGAATCACCTGAATTGGTTAAGACTGATGAGGACGAATCCGTGGAAGTCGCTTCCATCCTTTTCTTCATTGGTACAGAAAAAAAACACAATAAGGGAAAATTCTCCTCAAGCTCTCAAGGGTTCAATTCATATGATCGAGGGACTCACTTTAGTTGGCGGACATGTGGTCACAGTTCCAGCCTGTCCACCTTTAAACGGGCATCGACAAAAGTTCAAGGGCAAAACCAGCAACAATCCATGTTAGACTAAAGAGTAAAAGGTGTGTTTAAAGTTTAAGATACAAACAATAGTTCATTACCTGGAGTGCTACCTTTCTTGCTCTTGCCTTTGGCTGTGTAAGGTGAAATCTCCACTTCTGTCTGAGGCATCTCGGCGACTTTTTGCAGGAAGGTCTTTTCCAAGGCGAGGGCCATCAGCACTATGTCGTCTGTAGGCTGGAGGACAGAGGGAAAGATGTGATTCACTTTCTGTGATGCTAACCAGTGTGTTGACTTTCCAATAGTGAAGGCGCTCACCTTGTTGTATATGTAGCAGTTGGTGAACATGGTGTTGAAATCTTCCATACATTCACTTGCAGTCAAATAGTAGTTGTTCTCCAGTCGTTTCTTGATGGTTCCCAGGTCCATGGGAGATGTTATGATCTTATGATAATCCTGATTAAGGAAAATAATCAATGTGTCAGATTGGTGTAATCTTGCTCCTTGAGTTTGTCACACAACTTAAAAAGGATGTACCAAAGTTTGTGTGTGTATCTGATCTTCTGAACCCTTGTGTTCTTTGTCAAGTCTGTTTACACAACAAATTGAATGAATGTTTATATTTTGTCCTGAGTTGTAATATACTGGAACAAACTATTAACAGGGTATCGTGCAGATTTGCAGTTTGGGATTTATTTGCCAGGATTCGGAGATATCTGCCTCCACCCTAATTCCACAGAGATGAATAGAATTACATTTTCCATTCCATCATCATCATTTCAACGCCAACAATTCATTCCAAAAACAATGTCCCAGTTACTCTGGACAATACCGTTCCAGTTTTGGGACTAATTGAAAACAACAGGAACCACTAGAGAAATGGTCTGAAGCTGATGAAATTAGTAAAATTCTACTTCAAATGAATAAGTAATTAGCTAATTATTGACTAGGGGGCTACAAATTCTGTGATGCAGAATTAAGGTTGTTTCAGATGATTTTGTTACTAATACCCAAATTGTTTAATTGGGGTGTGCGTTTGGATTAGGAGGAAACAAAAACCAAGGGAGAAATTAAAACAAAGCTTTGACAAGAACATTAATGGCTGCAATGAAAGAAAGACAAATACAGATGGAATTTAAGGATTTAGAAGAAAATTTATGTCAGTGGAAGAAAAAGAAAAATTGTAGATTTTCCACAAGGCGAGAAAACCGGATTTGTTTAGACAGTTACATAAAAATAACATCTAGTTCAGGCCTACCCCTCTCTGATGATGCTATAAATGATGTATATAATAATTGTATATAAAAGAGATCTTATAAATATTGCTTTGAAAAATATTTACACACTACTCACTGGAAGTCCAAGAGCGATGGCATCGACAGGCTGGTAGAAAGGCCAGGCAAACTGGTGACGCCACAGGGATCTGATCACTATGTTGTGCATGTACTGCAGCTGGTTTGTCCTCCGGCCAGACTTGTTGGGGTTGATCACCTCAGGAGGAGGAGGGTTCACGACCTGCGGAGGACCCGGGTCTGTGTCTGCTGACATGACGGCGGTAGCCGAAAAGCAACAGGTTGTCTAGAGATGTTATCTTCTGTGGACTCTGAATCTTTCGTCTATAAGCTCATCTAAAGCTTCGGGGGAACATCCGCAATCCTCTTGCATAGTTTTCATGCCACACAAGGGGACCTGTTGATATACATGTAAAAAAAAAATGAATAGGTTAGGATGGTGTGGTGGATGGGAGCCTCTGCTGGCAATGTGGTGTAATGCTACTGTGATTGAATCTTGTCAAAATCAAACGTGAAAATATTCAGAGTACAATTAAACTCCAAAAGCTGAGGTGCTGCATGCTGGGTCTTTATAATCACACCTTGATAGATAACTTCCAGACGCCTCAAAGGAGTAAATGTATGCAAAATATATGTCAGTGCACATTTTCATCATCCTATACTGTAGTGAAGTTAATGCAATTTCCATTTTTCAAACACTAGATGTAAATGCCATTCTGCAGTCGGCACAGTCTGTGAACGCTATGAAACAGGGAGCTACTTTTTAAACTCTGGAACAGTTGTGCATATATGATGGTTTATTTTTATAAAATACAAAGTGCTGGTCTTTGTAAACCTGTTTAAAGAATTGAGTTGCCACGCCCATCAAATGTGACACAAGTCAAGCAGTGTGGACAAAGACAAATATGATTAAACGAGTCTGTGAACAACACAATCCATCTTCCACGTTTTACCTGAGTGTGGACTCAGGTAAAACGTTTGTGATGCATTCATGTGTTTTTTACTTCTTTTTTTTTTTTTAAACTACCAGGGGGGAATTGTTAGTGGGATACAGAAATCTAGTTCCTGTGTTTTGAAGCATAATTTAACCACAACTGTTAAATCTACTGAATTAAAACTCTTGATATTTACATTTCATACACACATTAGAATAAAAGATCAATTAAACACAAAAGTGAAACCTGGAAAACTACAACTACGTGAAGTTGTTGTTGAAACTTTTTTTTTTTTTTTACAGCTACGTGACTAAGTTCACTTCCACAAAACCACTTTAAGATAATAACAAGAAGTTATTACACATGTTACAGCTGCTTTTAAACGAAGCGGCGAGTTTACACGGGGAGGCTGCTAACCTGAAACTAACCTGTTGCTAACCTGAAGCTAACTTAGCTTCTTCCTTAGCGCCGGCGGAAGAAAAGTGGTTTAACGGGAAGCGAGGGTGAAAGTGAAACGCACGAGAGAAGCCTCTTAAGTTTCTTTCTTTTACCAGCTCGACCAACTTAAAGTCTGCAGCAGAGTCAGGAGGAAACAGAGCCCGAGCCGAAGCCGCCCTGTTAGCATCACAACACGACAACATACCGTCAGCGCTGGAACCGACGAGCTTCCTGCCGCGGAGAAACCAAACATCCTCTCTGACAGCGTTAAAGACCCACAGCGCCCCCTGCCGCTGTGGAGCCTGCGCAGTCAATGTTAGCTCAAATGTTAGAGACGACAAACTTTCACATTACTGTCGATACTCACAGCGTTTCATCACATTCATCATCACATTGTTCGGGTGATATTTCAATCATTCCCGTGTTGTTGTCCTGAAGTTAAAAATCCAAATCTGATTAAAATAAGTAAGCGCACGTTAATTTGAAGGACACCATGTTTCAATCTTAATTCTTGAGAACTTAAGAAACTCTTAAAAGCGATAAACTTAACTGAGTATTGTCTTCAAATCATCGGACAGCGACGTCTTCGCTACGCAGGACGGGACAAGATGGTGAATATCCCTTGTACGTTTGAAGTTCTTCCACACAGTTTAGGTTTCCCACTACCAGTAGATGTTATCGGATATTAGTGACCACCAGCAGATGTTAGGGACATGTCTCCAGATGTGTACCTTCGTGTCACCAGGTGTCTCGGCCTTCTCTAAGGCAGGTCCACCTCAGGTTGATCAGACCTGGGTCCATGTCCGTAGCATCTTGGGACAAGACGGATAAGTTGTTCCCAACATCTTGAATCATCTTGTCCCCAATAAATAAAAGCTGGTTCCCACGAGATAAATATCTTGAAAACATCTTGCGGGCACAAGATAACAATGTCTAATGTTTTTGGACTTCAGGGGCTCTGCACAAAGTGACTTCAGGTTAAATTAAAATAGTTTTTTTTTAAGAGAAACGCCACTAAAACAAACTCAATCATATTCAAACCATCCAGGCGGAAGGTGAGCGTTTTGGCGTTTTGATAAATACTGTCCCTCGTTGCTCTCCGTCGCTTCTGAGCGGACCGCGCATGCGCAGAGGAGCCAGCGGCCGCAGCACATTCCCCGCTTCTCCTCTTCTTCTTCTTCGTCTCTTTCCCGGAGTCGAACGATCCACGGGCGACACGAGCCGCTGTTGCCTTGTACACGATCGTGCGAATAAATGTGCGAGTCCTTTTCTCGACAGTCTTCGAGAGGAAGCGACGCCGTGACCGCGGAGCTGCCGTAAACACCGTGAGTACCGCCGCATGTTCGATTCCCTCATTGTTTGAATGGGAGGGCCGCTCCGTGGCAGCTCTGGACGTTTGTCAACAGCATCATTTTAATTTTTTTTTAATTTTATATATAAAGCTGTGAAAAGATCCCACGACATTTAGCTCCTCTGTAATAAACCCACTGGGTTCAACATGTGGTTGTTTATCTCTTTATCACCCGGGAGCTAAGATGCTAAACGTTGAAACAGCGCAGACACGTTACGGTGTTAGCATCACTTTGAGTCGAGCAGCTCTGCTTTAGCTTTTGTTTGACGCCTCTTTGTGTTTTTTTTATTTTTTATTTTTACACATTTATCAGATTTAAACACGAACCACCATCAGAACATGTTTAACAAACAAACAGCAGCATCGAACCTCCGTGTGCAACGTCTCTGTTTACTTCTGTTAACCACCAACAAGGCCGAGTAGCGTTAGCAAGCTAAAGCTAGCTGACAGATATATTTACAGCCCGTGTGTGTGTGTGTGTGGGGTGGGAAGCAGCTTAACACGTCTTGACTTTTAAACCATGAAATAAAATAAAATAAAGATCTGGATTATTCACTGCGGCACAACTGTCCAATTTAATTAAACACAACTTCATTCTGAAGTGGCTACATGGCTGTGAGCCGACTGTTTACACCACTAGCATGATTAGCATACACACCTAAATAACAAGCTAGTGTCAAATATCAGAATTTTATTTTTATATTTAAAGCTGTAACCGTTTGTCACTTTCACATTTGAACCATGGTTTTATTTACGTTTTGCAGGTTATTACTCATCTGTTCATACAGTTTGTTTTCTCCATTTATACTGTTTGCACTATTTCTATTTCTAACTTTTTACACATTTGTGTCATTGCACATCACAACATGTCCTCATGTTTAAATATAATCACTGTGCGTACTTGCTGGTTCCACTGCACTTAACTATATACTCAGCATTTATTTAACTTTTTATTATTATTATTCTCTTGTCTACCTCATGCTGACCTGACAGCTGCTGTAACAACTGTATTCCCCCAGTGTGTGTGCATTAATAAAGTTTTATCTTATCTTCATCATCTGCCTCCTCTCTCTCTCAGGATTGTGCACAGTCGTCGCCAGTTCCATCACCATGGCAACAGAAGACAAGAAACCAGAGACTGATACGAAACCTCCGGTCGTGCCGTCGGCGTCCGCCAGTCAAAGCAAGGTTTGAATCTCTATGTTTTCGGTGTCGCCTCCCATTCCTCAACTTTACCCGTCCGCTTATTTTTGTTAATTGGAGGAAGGATAAGGAAATATGTGGAGGTGGGACTTTGGGGAAATAAATATTTGGACACTTAACACATGGTGGGAGATTTTTTTTAAATGTCTTATTTTGTTTTCGTTTACAGTCTGCGCCTGCCAAACCAAACTACAGCCTGAAATTCACATTAGCCGGACACACTAAAGCTGTCTCCTCGGTCAAATTCAGTCCCAGCGGAGAGTGGCTCGCCAGCTCCTGTGAGTGATGTGTCCTGTACGCCAACATATGAGCCAGAGTAAACTGGGGCTGTGACTAATTCCACTTGATCAACTGTTATGGCATTCTTTTAATATTTGTTTTGTCTTTACAGCTGCTGATAAACTCATCAAAATCTGGGGAGCATATGATGGCAAGTTTGAGAAAACCATATCTGGACATAAACTTGTGAGTGTAACAGGTTCTTACCTTTACTGCTGCAGTGTTAACCCTTTTTGTTTCTATTTTGAAAGATGGGATTATAGTTTGTTATCCACGTGTAGTTGTAGATTTAATAAACACAGAAGTACGCCAACAAATCAGAGCCTTGAGTGCTGTGTGACTAATCACTTCCTATGAATCCACAGGGAATATCTGATGTGGCCTGGTCCTCTGACTCCAACCTCCTGGTGTCTGCGTCAGATGACAAAACCCTGAAGATCTGGGACGTCAGCTCGGTAAGTAAACTAAGACCAGAGTGTGTTCGTCAAGGCGATGATAATGTGTTGATTGTTATTATACATTCATGACGTATGACCGGGAAGTTCACGCCCACCTTTTAGATTCATATCTGTGGTTTATGCAACGTTATATATTTACATCCCCATTAAATCTGCACTGACTTCCACCTGTGTTGCCGGCGAGAATGTGACATTTCCTCTATATTTTTTTTATCCAGGGAAAATGCCTTAAAACTCTAAAAGGTCACAGCAACTACGTCTTCTGCTGCAACTTCAACCCCCAGTCCAACCTTATCGTGTCAGGATCGGTGAGTAAGATGCTTTTTTTCGCCCGACGCAAGAGAAAATGGAAACCAGATGTTAGACTGTTTCTACTTGGAGAGAAATTCTGTGTGGTTTAGAAGAAAATAAATGGAGACCATTTTTGTTTTTGCTTTCAGTTTGATGAGAGTGTCAGGATATGGGACGTGAAGACTGGGAAGTGTTTGAAAACATTGCCGGCTCATTCTGATCCTGTCTCTGCTGTAAGTTTGTTTTAAAATTCTCAACAACAGTTAAATGTTCTAAAGAGTAAAATGGTGTCATTGACGTGATGATGTGTTTTGGGTCACAGGTTCACTTCAACAGAGACGGCTCCCTGATTGTGTCCAGTAGCTATGACGGCCTTTGGTGAGAACAAACCTGATTTTCCCCCCCCCCATGAACTTCACGATAGTCAAAACAATTAAATATTATTTAAGTGAATTATACTTGTTAGACTTTGTGTTGTCTACCATTGGAAAACTACCCTTATGACATATTAAATGTTTTTGTCTTTTAAACATTGGCAGCCGAATCTGGGACACAGCATCAGGCCAGTGTTTAAAGACGCTCATAGGTAAGATCATCTCATATCCGCAGCAGCTTTAGGTTCGATCCCCTCGGCCCGAAACAGTCACAAAAAAATAATCCAATAAACTCCTGCTCTCTGTCTTTGGTTTATTTTAGATGACGACAACCCTCCTGTGTCATTTGTGAAGTTTTCTCCCAACGGGAAGTACATCCTGGCTGCTACACTGGACAAGTGAGTTTTAATAAACCTTCCTCTCTGTTTCTCAAGTTGTCTTCACGTTCATCCTACTCTACTTCTTTACACTGTTCACCAGCAGGGGGCGGTATAACTCTAAAATTCACTTTCCTCACTAACAGTTTAAAGTAAATAAAAGGTGCAGGAAATAAACTATTGTCGATTACCTGTGGTTGTCATTTTAAATATTTGTGTTTATTTCCAGCACGCTGAAGCTGTGGGACTACAGCAAAGGAAAGGTAATGTACTTTTTTAATTGTTCAATTCAGGTTTTGAGTGAAATCTCAAAACCATCTTAATGTAAATAATGAAGTGTTTAACCTGATAAAGTAATATTTAATTGTTTTTTATCATGTAGCATTTGTTTTATAGCAAATGTTGAATTGTTCTTCCTTCTTTTCAGTGCTTGAAAACGTACACGGGCCATAAAAACGAGAAGTACTGCATATTTGCAAATTTCTCCGTCACAGGTGGAAAGGTGAGAGCTGTCGTTCCTGCACGTTTTTGCTATTTGAATATCGGTGATGGTGTTTAAGTCACTGATGTTTGCAGATTAGCTCCTAACGTTTAGCGGGCGCTCTCTTACAGTGGATCGTGTCGGGCTCGGAGGACAACATGGTTTATATCTGGAACCTGCAGACCAAGGAGATTGTGCAGAAGCTCCAGGGCCACACAGGTTCGTCTTTATTTTTACGGCTGACATTTGTGTCCGTGTGTCAATAGAACTGGGTTCTGGGTGTTTGTACGTTTTGCGTTCCTTAACACCATTTCAATTTTCCCTTCGTCTTTTCTCTCCAGACGTCGTCATCTCGACCGCCTGCCACCCGACAGAGAACATCATCGCGTCTGCGGCTTTAGAAAACGACAAAACCATCAAGCTATGGAAAAGCGACTGCTAAGCCCTCTTGGATCTTTTTGGGCCATTCATTCACTCAGCCTCTTTCTGTCTCTCCCCCCCCCCCCCCCCCCCTTCCCCGACATTTTGATGTAAAAGGACTTTTTATTCCAACGGAGCGCTCCTGCTGGATGTAGCAGGTAATGAAATTCAGCACAGTGAGACACGTCAGCCGAGACAGTTCCGCAGCGGACACGTTCTTCTCGTCACGTACAAGATATTTCATTCATCACATTTCACACATTTCACCCAGATTTTGTTGTCTCATAAGGGAAATGGTTGACTTTTGTTAAACTTTACATCAAGTACCTTTTTTTTTTCTTTTTTTTTTAAACATGCATTTACCTTGATGTTCTTCCTTCATACAAACTCGCTGACGTTTCTGGTGTTGTACAATAAATGTAACGGTCATTTGGACTTTTAGTATCATTTATTTTGCCTTTTTTTTTTAAATTGTCTGTGTAACTTTGTAGAATCTTAAAGGTGGAGAGGTGACGACACGGAGCTTTAAGTACAAAAAAAAAAAATCTAAGGCCCTTTTGGCTGTTATTTATTCTTGTGGCACCAATATTAAAAATATTCCCCTTTATTTTAAATGTCACTTCTCAAGTTAGCGCTCTGCTTGAGTTAAGTCCTGTGTTGATTATTCAGACAACAACCGGACCTTTAGTTTGAAACTTGAAAAGAACACAAACTTCAACAGGAAGAAACGAGTTACTTAAAATATTTAATTTTTTAATCTGCCCCTTAATTGAGATCCCTCCTCTTCAAAAACAATTCCATATTTTTGATTTCACCACAGTGACCAAGTGCAGTTATTTTGTGTTGTAGGATTTGTACATATTACACTTTGTATTGTGATTTACTTTAGCTGTCTGTTTATTTCTTTACAATTTCTGCTTCTCATTTAGCTCGTAGTTCTGAAAGCCAGCGGCCTCTTTTCTTCAGTCACCTGGATTTTTCTTGTGGAATATGTTTTACTTCTGACAGCCACAACCTGCAACTTAATAAAACCAGTTTTTGTATGTTTCATGTCACTGAGTGAAAACAATCTTTCAACCCGTAACAAAATCAACTGGCACCAGGCGATGTCACTTTTGAGTTTTTTTAATAACTTTTTTTCAGTCCAAGAAAGAACATTAGAGAACAACCCACAAATAACAGATGACAAAATTCCACCTTTTTAAAAATAGACAAAAATATAATGAAAGAAGACATTCCCATCTTGCAGCGACAGATTGAAAATGGCGAAGTAAAAGGCGACACAGTTACCGAGGTGCCGAAGTCAAATGTTCCTCTCGTTCTCTACCAGAAAATGTTCTCTTGCCTCGTTGAATAAGCTTTTCCACAACGTATACAACAGCCCACAGAAGAAAAGGCAAAGAACAGAGCACATAAGCGAGGGATAAAATTACCTTTGTACAAAAATAGATCTTTTTTCCAAGTGTTTTTTTTTTTTTCTTTTCTCTTTTTTACTTGAACATTTTACTGTCTATGCAACGAAGAAGCAGTGATTGTGTCACGAGCTCAGCTTTTCCTGATTACACTGTTTGAACATTGAATTGCCAAGCAACACACATTTCGGAGGGTTTTTAAAGACTTAACCTTTTTTTTTTTTCTTGTCTGTTTTCTCTCTTTCATTGTATTTTCTCGTTGAGGTCCCACAAACGGCTGAGAAGCTGGTTCTGTTGAGTTCAGAGGTGTCTGCCATTCTGCTGGTTGATCAAGATTTTTTTATTTTTAATAAACTCAAGGTCGAGATGCAAATAAAAACTCCTCAGATATTTGTGGGGGGGGGGGAAACACAGTAAAACTCTGAGTAATCCCGGTGCCGAGCAGTTTGGTCTGAAAGACTCGTCCTCCCTCCTCTCTCTCTCTCTTCCAATCAACAGATCTGTTGATATATATTTATAAATATATACACATATACATATTAACAAAATATAGCTTTAAGTTATAAAGCATTCATGTGGGTGATCGTTTCTGTATCTCGTCAGAGAAGATCCTTGTCCGTCCGTTTCCTGCAAAGGAGTGAGCTCCCACATCGTTATGGCTTAAGATACCTGTGGTAACCGGTCACAGTAGAGTCAGAGCGGGACACTGCATCACAATGAAGACAACGGGAGGATATTCTTCTTTAAGTTGGGTCGAAACACACAAACCTGCTTTTATTTTCTCGATTACCTCCGCCAAGGAGTCACTGTTCCACCGCTGTTCGTCTGTCGGTTGCTTTGTTTTTGAGGAGATTATACACCGACACCACTGAATGGATTTCCGTGAAACTTAAGATTTACCTTAAGCCTCAGCGTGTCCTCGTGTTCGGCCTGCATCGTTGATCACAACTGAAGTTATGTCACTCACATCTACTGATAGTTGGGTAACAGAAGGCCTTCAAACGTACAAGGGATATGTTCTAAAATACAAGGATGCAGTATTAACTAGTGCTGATCCAGATCGGGGCAGATCCAGGAATGTGTTTTCATTCTTTAACATTGTGAGATCATTTATGTAAAATGTGAGGGGACTGTTGGGCCTTGGCGGAGGTATTTGCTCTCCTGAGTGCCGTTCTATTAAAATCTGCTTTTCTCTAAAAGGTACAAATCTAACCTGGTCTCACAGAAAAAGCTCTTTTCACCACACTGCTTCAATTTTCTTATTTTCTTAAACAAACAATGATCATTTCCCAGAATATAAATACTGTAAACTGAGCTCGAGCTGGCAGTCAATACTGTCACCTGGATAATTAGTAATAACACAGATCATCCATTTCTTTTGATTGAGAATAAAAACAACGAGCCGATAGATCATCACTCAAGTTATTGCTACCTTTCTGTTTTGTCTGATCCAAAACAGCATCGATGATGATAACACTGTGAGAAAAGTGCCGTCTCTCTCTCTCTTGTCTACTTGTAGAAAAATTCAAGTAATGTTGCAGCGCCGCTTCGCGTCCACTAGAGAGCGCTCACAGCTTCTTGAATCTGTGCCACCTCTCTCTCTCTCCTGCCCAAGCTGCATGTTGCAATCCCGCCTGAAGCCGACAGTATCTGACATTTCGAAGCTGCCATCTGAACCGGCTCTTTTTTTTTTTCCTTCTTCTTCATAAGGAAAAAGATCATTGGATGTCTGGGGGATCAGTTTCTCAGAGGAGGATTAACGGGCCCTTTGCTGATGCACGTCTGTGAAACCGGCCCCTGGACACATGGTCAGCGCTTCCATGGAGTCCTGAGGGTGGCGGCAGAGTTTTGACTTTTTCAAACCTTTTGATTTTTTTTAATAAACTGGGGGGGGCGGGTCACAAGCTGACAACTGGCCAATCAAAGCTTTAACCGCTTGAAATGAAGGCGATCACGAAACGGAGACGGTCGATGTTAAAGCAGCGAACAAAACTTGAGATAGAAAATATCAGGCACACGGATTTATGACAATAAAGAAGGGTGTTTGTGATTCGATTTTAAAATGAAATGATTCTTTCATTTCAATCTTTTTTGAAAAATGTATCTTTTTGCTTTGGAGTTTAAAGGTTTTTCAATTTTATATTTTCACTGACAGCAAAAGAGTGATTATTGACGTGGCGCTCTCAAGACTCCATACACCCGCTCACAACATTAACTGATGGAAAAGTGGCACAAATAGAAGAAATCCTTGTCGACGTGCCCTTGAACTCCACTGTTCTATTAAACCTACTAGTTTGTTTTCAATGAGATCACTTAAGGCTGAATAAACCAGAATATCTGAATCATGTGGAAAATCACCCTAGATCCCAGATTTCTACTCCGGTCCAGGAAATGATTCGACTCGACCCACGACTCACAAACACGCTCTCAAAAAGGACTCGGCCGTACGAACATGCACCCGCTCTGTGGACAATCTTTGGAAATGCACTCGATGCATAGATTTGCAGCAGCTGCAGCATTTGAAGAAAAGAACAAGCAGAGAAAATGAAAAGCAGAATATGGGCGACAAAGCATATTTATACACAACATGGAGACATTTCAAAATTTCAGTTCATCTTGAATAACACTTGGTTGTCCAGAGAAGTGCAGAGAGAGCGACTGTGCGTGTCCCTCTGAGGAGGACGATAACTGGGGCGTTCCTGATTGGGCCTGGGCCAAATTCCGCCTCAGAGGTCGATTGCGTCGACGTCAGCTCTCCGACTCGGAACCCGACTCCGCTGTCATGAGGTTAAGTGCCAAGTAAGAAACAAATAAACAAAACAAATAAAAACAAAGATGGCTCTGCTGCAACAACACACGCTCTTTCCCTCCTTCTGCAAATGGTTAAAAGAAGAAGTGAAGGTCTGAGGATGGAAACGGAGGTAATCTGTGTGCATTGTTGTTGTTAAAATGAAAACTGAACATAACGTCAATACTGTGAATGGTTGTAACTTTCTGTACAGGTAAATATGAGGTTTTTCAAGGAGCTGACACCTGCTGCTCGGAGCAGAGGTTTCTTCTGAGGGTGGAAGTGTGAATGGTGAGAGCTGAGATTCTCCTGAAACGGAGGTCGGACAAGAGACGAAGAAGGAGCTCGGCGGTCGATGAAACAATATATTCCAACGCAGACGAGACGGCGAGCTCACTTTGTTGTGATCAGAATCCGGTGAAGGCTGACTGTTAAAACGAGGACGACACGAGTTGATCCAGGTTGCTGCACCGGCAGAGCTTCCACTGAGGCTCATTTGCAGCCAGAGTTTTCCTATGTGCAGAAAGAACAGTGCAGATTGTACAGAACGAGCTCTCCGAACCCTTTTATCGATCAGTACGTGAACCGAAAGGCTGATTATTGGACTGACGTGTCGTCCTCCCCGATGTTGCACAGTGCTAACAGAGTAAGACATGGTTGGATTGGTTGGATTTGGGCTGAGACCTGAGGTTTTTGAACACTTGCAGTCTTGTTGACACACCTCTACTCCGGAAAGCTCACACTTTAAAAAAAAAAACAACAGCTAGTGCAAGGCCCTCCGCCGCCGTCCCTCCCCCAGAGTACGTTCAGCCCTGAGTCCAGAGAGGGCTCAAGTGTTGACGGCCCGAGTCTCCCCCAGTCCACGATTGTCCCGATCACGACGCAGAGCGTCCGAATGTGACATCATCACGTGGGTGTTAGAATCTGATCGTCTCTGCTTTTTCTCTTCAAGGTGTCGGAATAGCAAAGCTGAGAAACGATGGCTCAACATGTGTCTTTTGTCCGTCCTCATTTCAGTCCACCGATGACACTCGTGTTTGATGTGTGATTTTTTTCCATATATATATTTCTTATTTATAATATTTTTTACAAAGTATAAAACAGACCCGCAGACGTGACGATTTCATTGTTTTCAAAACGACGGGGGAGAGAGACGGGAGAGGAGACAGGGAGAGGTTCTCCAAAATCCAAAATAGTCACGTGATCTGTCCCTCGTGATCTGAGATGGGATTTTTTTTTAAAAGAGGAGGAACCCTTCTCCTGGTCCAGAGGTGGTTGAGGGAGGAGGAGGAGGAGGAGGAGAGGACGGGGGGAGGGCTCGACCATCGACGCCATTATGTCATTTGATGCGGTGCTTCTAGCATCTCCATGAGGAAGGTGTCGATGGGCGTGTCCCCGATGAGCTTAAAGAAGAACAAGTGCTCGAGACACTTGAGGCCGATGGAGCGCAGCGCTGGTAACCGCAGCAACAGCTTAGCGAACCTGTCACAACACAAGAGACAAACTGAGACAGGAAGGAAGGAGACGATCCAAACTACACAAACTACACAACACGTACACACACTAATTAATTACTGGATGATTTGACGGCTGAGACTGACTCGTGATTGGTCGACCTCGTGTAGGGACGGAACCTCGATACTGCAGCTCTTGTATTCGGGTTATTTTAGCTTTATTTTTACAGCAGGAGGAAGTTTCAGTTTGTTAAAATTCATCGACTATGACTCCTGACCTTGTTAAATATCTCGTGTTTCTATCTGCTGACTACCAACAGAACTTAAAATACCACAGCGTGACGTTCTTTTGTTACTTATGCTTCGTTAACGTTCCTGTGAATGAAACTCCCCCACAAACTCCTCATGAACAGCTGGCGTTCATCAGGCTGAAATAATCAATTCACGGCAAGTTTGCACGGCGAGGAGAGTCTGATGACTCTTGTACAAGCAAACCAGAGAAGTTGAGGGTAAAAGAACAAAATGTTCCTGAACGAAGCCGACTTTTTATTCAGACATTCAAAACGTCTCTTCATTCAAATATCCTCCTTAACTTGGTGAAATTACTTTTCTCATGAATCTAAAAAGGAAATTGAAGAGTTTTATTGAATGTGAAAGGATTTTAATCCACACAATCATCTTCGACATTTATAATCTGATAACTAGGTGAACTCAAATCTATTCTATTGATTAAACCGATTGTTTTTGTGGGTCCTTGAAGACGCAGCTGTCATTTGAAACTCTGAAAAGCTTGTGTGGATTGGAGGTTGGTGAGAATACGAGTCCTCCTCTTATCTAAAAATCTCCATGTGTGGATTCAATGGCTTTGCTCAGAGTCTGGGGATGTGCATGATCGTCTCTGTGTTTGTCTTCGTACCTGCCGGGCTGCTCGGGGTACTTCTGTTTGCAGTAGGCCTCTAATGACGCGTAGACTTTCTCTCTCAGGGCTTCCACCTCACCTGGGTTCGACAAACCTTTAGAGTCTGCGGAGACACAAAACGAGAATTTCAAACAACAGCCACAACGATCTTTGTCCTCTCTGTGGGAAGTTACAGAAAGATTCTTCTCTGCGCTGTTATAATCGAGTGCCTTGCTTATGGGCACCTCGCAAGACGCACTTACAAAATTGAGCTTTAACCTCTCGGGCTCGTTGTAGACGTGTGTCGCCACATTCTGGGTTAGTCCAATTAGGACTGTGGATTCAAAGCTGTGCGAATTCAGGCCTCAGTGGACGACTCATCTTTGATTAACAACACAAACACGTCACTGGTTAACATTTCTCGTGAACAAAGCTTTTACGCGATTGATCGACGGTGAATGAACATTTGTTGTCAATGGCTGCACTGGATCACACAGTGTGGGAAAGGGGAGGACCGGGGGCCTTTTTAGCCCTTTAGCCCTCGGCCTCCCCTCCTGCACCCCCACCCAGCGCTCCCTCGCTCAGACCGGTCTTGCGAACCCGTAATTAACAAGCCGAGAAGTGAACCGAGGCCAGTGGGCTCGGATGTGGCCGGGACAGAATGTGGAACACGGGGGGATCAGTGCGCGGGGGCCGCTGTGCGTCTGAGGGCCGGAGGGAGGCTCCCACATCGAGTCACAGCGACGGTTTGGTTTATTAAAGCCTGGTGCCATGTGGAGGAGGTCTGAACACCTAACAGACCTAAATGTGTTTAATACCTAATATTTGTATTTGAGAAAAGTCCAAAATAATAATGTTACGACCTTGCAGAAACCCATTTTCGTTCTTTTTGGTGGGACCGCATCAGTCAAACTCCAGTTCCCACTTCCCATGTTACACTAATGAGGTCAAGCTGAGTCACCACGACCAGACCTGAGAAGATTCTCCACCGATCTGAGCATCGACTCGCTTCATCAGGCCTGAGAGCTTCGTCTAAAACCCTCCTGGGATCTTGCAAAAAAATATCTGCTGTGGACAAGGCTAGATGTTTTCGGTACTTCTTTCTCCCACTGTTAAAAAATCCTCACCACCGGAATCGATTTTAAAACGAATTCGAGCTGCGTCACAGAGGAAGCAACACTTTTTAAAGTCGTATCTTAAGCCTTCTGGGAGGAGAGTGTTTGATTCTCTATATATATCCGGAGATTGTGTTGAGGATCACTTTAGGCTTAATGAGTCATATTCTATTCTCGTGATATCATCTGTTTTTACCTCATTATAACTGAGCTGCAGCTCACACAGACCTTGTGCTGTTGTGTGTTTACCTGCTTATTCTTGAGCTTCAAAGTAGAATAAGTCACAGGTCTATGGTTTACATACAGTGTTTTAAAACCACAGCAAATGAAAGCACACATACTGTTCAGTGATAGTTACCTGGATTGAAAAGGACTATAGCTCGAAGGCACCCCAGTTCTGTCTTATCCATCTGCATGTCCCTCATCTTAGACACCAGCTCTGTTAGCACTCTGCACAAAAAGAGATGAAAAACCCAACAACAGTCAGAGGTTTGGCTCATTTGAATTTAAACAGGAGAAATAGTTCAAGTGTGTTTTAATCCTTCTTGGCTACCGGCCTGTTTTCATGTTATATCACAGAAACAAACGAGCGCCAGAAAAGTTAAGATCACAGGAAACCATTTGCATCTAATTGGTACATTTCTTCATCCAGATCTAGACAGAGACATTAAAAATGTGTTTTAACTGCGATCCAGCTCAGATCTATTTAAAGATAAACACACACACACACACACACAC